CCGCTGCGCACCGGGGTCCCCGTCGCTGCCGCCGTCTGGGCGCTGGCGGGCCAGTGCGCTCCCTCCACGGGGGTGGGGCACGCACTCGAGGGACCACAGGTGTGCCCCGCGCCCGCCCCCGGGAAAATGCGGGGACCAGGATGCCGGAGGGCCTGCTGGTCCGGGTCCTGCAGGACGGCCTGGTGTCTGGCCATGCAGCAGCAGGGGAGCGGACGGTGGCTCCTCCCTAGTCCGGTGTCCTCATGTGCAGATGCGGTCGGGTCGCCAGCTGACCTTCAGGGCTCTCCGGGCCGCCCCCGCCCAGGTCTGCCTGGGTGGTGCTGAGGACCGAGGCTTGAAGCAGCCCCTCCCCTCCCCTGCCCCACTGCACCCCCCTCCTAGCCCGGCTCCCTGGGCAGGTCTCAGAGTTGACTGGAAGCCCAAAGCCGGCCCCGCCCGGCCCCTCGCAGCCAGCAGGTGCGGCCAGGCCCTGCGGGTCACGCTGAGTATCCAGCAGAGCTCTGCTGGGGGGGGGGTGCCAGGGGTCGCCCCCACCCTAGCGGACCCCAGGGCCCAGGCCGGTGGAGGCTGGCGGGGAGGGGTCCCGTGCTCTGAGCCCCATGGCAGCGGAGCCGCAGGGGTGGGGAAGCTCAGGCCAGCTGGACCCTTCCCTGGTATGAAGAGACCCTGTCGTCTGCGGGGCTGGGTCCTCTGCGGGGCAGTCCGCTCAGGCAGCTAGCACCGCAGTCCCCGGCCTCGGCTGTCCTCTAGTGCCCAAGGTGATGAAACTGAAACAATGCCCAGCCCTGCAGCAGAGGAGAGCCGCACCTGGGGGCACCTGGCTGGGATGGGGGGATCCCACGGGGGAAGGGGGCATCGGCCTGTCCTCCCCGCTAAGAAGGCGCGGGCAAGCGAGCGGCCCCCCACCCCGCCCGGTCTAGAGAGGTCGTGGCTGTGTTGGGGGGCAGGTCACCGCGCCCCGGTGCTCCCGGATCTTGGGGCCTAGCGCGCCGCCGAGAGCGGCCGGCCGGCGGCC